GATATTAAAGTAAGTCTAGCATTGTCAAATATGAAAAGATCTAATGAAATCATATGCTCACTGGTCACATTAACTCCAACAATGTAACTGACAAAATCAAAGTGTCCGAAAGACTATGTTAACATAGATTTGATCTTATTGGCTCAAGGATCTCAGCCAGCCATTTTGCTCTAGAATGATAAGGAGAGTTCAGCATGTCCAATATAGGTTGCAGACGGACACCATTTTTATAAACCTTAGGAAGACCATATAAACGAGAGTTGGTGGAACCAGATGGCTTGAGATGTTCATACGTATACGAAGTAATAATAGCCTTGTCCTACAGTTTCTTCAAAGTTTTTGATAATTCATTCCGACTTCCTTCCTTTCTATCTTTCTGGTGGGTTGGTTCAGAAAACTTTTCTACCCCTCAAAGAATGGTACATAATTTCTTGGTGAAATCCACACGATTTAAAATGACTTTGAGTTATCTTTTATCTGGACGAACTAATACTATATCCCTGTTATTCAGTAGTTCATTCACTTGTCTTTTGTGCTCCTTTGATATCATCTGTCGTTATTTGCATTGCGCTCTTAAGTATTCATTGTAGCAATGAATTATGGCAGACTTCAGTTGTTCAAGGTCTTCACTAGACGTCGAAAGTAGGTTATTTACGAATGCAACATTAGTAGGAACCATTTATTATCTATGTGGTTACATCGACCTAGGATGCATAAGCACTGGATTGCTGACTAACTATCTGAAGCAGGCTTTATTGAAATGTATGCTTAATGTGCAGCTTAGATTTAATAATATCATCTATAACCAAAAGGATGAAGTTGCTCTTAGGTCTCCATTAGGACTTCTCCCTAGCAGATGTCTTCACGGTAGACTTGCAGAGGAGACCACTGAAAATACAAAAATGAAAAGTGCAATTATGATAACACTAAGGAAGGTGAAGATCAAGTGAAGTGAAATGAATTTAATCGATGAAATAAAATAAAAAGTTAAAGAAAGGTGTACAATAAATGTTTTTGAATACATAATTTAGATTTTTGTCTATGTATAACTAAGGCTTTGACTGTATATGAGTAGTGAATACTCAAAATTTTAGAGTGACTGAGTTTAACACTGTAGATAACTTCAAATGATAATTCATGTGAGGCTGAATGACCTAATTCACGTCAAAGTCTTTGTCGTCTTATGTTCACATTTCATCAACCAAACCAAGTAGTGTTCAGCCGGGTGATTTTGGAAAACACGCCTAAAATGTCGAATGTAATCAGCTTCACAGGAGTAATGTGAAAGAATAGATGCACATAGAGGTGGACATATGCGGGAGTTTATCCTATACATATTTTCAAATTAAACTATGGCTAAGGAATACCTGCTGTAAGACAACACCACAAAATGAGAGTCTAATACGCGTGGATAGACGAGTTTTAATCACTTCGGCAACAGTATATCCTGTGAATGTCAAACTCATGAACAATGTCTTTTTGGTACTATAATTTGCTAGTAGCCATTTTTCTCCTCATATTTCTTTTAATACATCTTCTGGGATTTTCATAATTTAAGGGTGTTTCACGAAAGATTCCCACTTCTTTACCGATAGCATCTTCCATAACATAGAAAATTTACTAGATTTAAAAGAATTATTCCCTTTGATAAATATAAACAGCGTTGCTTAAAGACACAGTTTCTCTTAGAATACCGTTATAGACTTGTGAAATATGTTTCAAACAATCCAAATACATATCATCTCATCAATTCAGTCACTATGAAATTTTCAAGTATTGGTTTTGTAGGGATTTTGTTCGGTGGGATGGAGGATTTTATCATGAGCTGACATCAGTTAGAGAACCACTAGAAAACTTGGGAGTACTGGACAGCTGTTTCTTCTGGTTTGGGATGCTATGTCGTGAATTAGAACTCATGGGCCATTGGATCGGTTCCCGGTGTCTCAATGGTCTATAAGCTCGCCTTGTAACCAGAAGGTCCTAGGTTCGAACCTTTACGGTGGGCGCATACTGACGAGGAGTCTCAAATTAGACTGCGAAACAGCTGTCTGGTACTCCCAGGTTTTCCAATTGTTCTCTAACTGATGTCAGCTCATGAAGAAATCCTCCTTCCAATATGAAATTGGAAAAAAAACGGAAGACCAAATAAAAAAGCAAATAATAAAGGTATTCAAGTGTGAGCAGGATAATAGTTTAAACTACTCAAGGTTACAAACGTAGATAAGAATCACTAGGGAGAGTGTATTCAGTGTACCCATATATTACCTTGGTACATAAAAGGAAGAGGATATTATCTTATAGATGGATAATTACCTCAGCATACTTTGGTATACTCCTCTCTATGTCCCTGTGTATGATCTTAAGACCTGTTATTATGTCAACCTCATGTTGCGTATCAATATAACGTGCTTTGTTACTGGAGTGAATGGTAGTCTGCCATCTGTGATTATCAATGTTTTTGGAGATCAACTACTATTTGTAAGCTCTCTAAATTGTAAACAGAATCGCCATGTGTAAGTCTCACAGCCGACTAATTTCAATTAGTTTGTCAAATATGAAGGATTCACTGTCAAAACTAATAATACACTGGTAATAAAAGCCATCGGATGGATATGAGCTGGACAAAATAATCGATTTCCAAGTATAGACTACAAAGTTATTTTTAGCTCTGATTAATATGAATATTAATGACTAACCTTAGATATTTATCTTTCAATTAATTACAGAAATGCCAATATAATAATAATAATAATAAAATATCTACACTAATTAACTCTCTGCATAACTGACTTTATGACTTCTGTAGAAAACATAATATTGTCTACATTTATGAAAGTGAATTTGTGAATGCAAAAGTGTCTTACTGGAAGGCTGAATCACATGAATTTTTAATTATCCACATAAGATACTGATGTAATGTTACACAAAATTAGGTTTTTATTTGCATTTTATCATAGTTCACTGATGAAAATTTCTGCAGTCACACACGTAGTTCAGGTTTGATCCTCACCTGATGCCTTGCTAAGCTTCCCCTGTCTTATTAGCCGATATTAAATCCGTGAAGAATTGAGGTTGGGACCAGAAATAACAGTATGTTCCACTGGGGAACACTTAGGAAAGGACAATAAGTAATATGAAAATAAAGATAAAGGGAGTTAGCTAGGGATTTATTGGTCTCAAAAAAATAACTGGTTATTCAACAATTTTTCGCGTTCATTTCCTTTTCTCACAAGTTGTTTGTCTCAGTAAGCTTTGTTTTATGAGCAGTAATTTCTCTGTTCATTGGAAACGAATGTCATACACATAAATACAGATCTTCAGTGACCCGATATTCCGATAATCTCTCCAGATTACTACAAACAGATAGTCTGATGAAAGGCTTAATATCTTACAGAAACTTGTTTATAAATATGCTATGACTGGTCAGCTTATGGGCTTTGAAACTATGAGGTATTGATGTAATGGTAATAAAATAGAACAGTTTTATGAATTCGCTGATCAGTGTTTTGAGGTATGTACCATAAAAGAAGAGTTGCATACAGAAACTTATCAGGCGTTAGAATGAAGGTGAGACGGTCCTCAGCTATGCTGGAAAGAGTATTCTAATGAATTGGCTCCCTATAATTTGGGGTCCTGTTGTTTTCTGTTCTTTTTCACTTCTTTCAGCTGACTAAATTTTTTACAGGATTTTAAAGCTTTCCACTCAACTTAGTTTGCCTCGGTTTTACTCACAGGAAGTTCGACGGTTCCATAATTCGTATACCCTACAAATAAGATAATTTGCTAAGAAGAAGGATGGGGATTATTTGAACCAAAGGATTAGGTTTTCTATAATGATGTATAGGCAGAAGATATTCAGTTAAACTTTCAAAATAATTACAGGATTCCCATCATGATCTGACATTTGTTAGAGAAACATTGGAAAACCTGGAAGTACTCGATAGCTGTTTCGTCCTACTTTGAGACTCTTCAACAGTACGCACCCACCGGGATTCGAACCCAGAACCTTCCGGTTACAAGGCGAGCTCGTATACCATTAAGCCAGTGGGACCCGATTCAATGGCCCAATGGGTGCGTACTGCTGAAGAGTCCCAAACTTGGATGAAACAGCTATCCAGTACTCCCAGGTTTTCCAATGTTTCTCTAGCTAGTGTCAGATCCTGGTGAAAATCCTGTAACCAATCAAATCCCTACAAATCCTACAAACCAACACTCGAATTTCAAAATAATTAACTACATAGAAGAATGTTGGAGGTGGAATTTCCTTTCACTTTGTTCTAGTCATTATGACTTTAATAACAATAGCAATAATGCTCGAGTGTTATAATGAGAAAAAAATCGTGCAGTAACATAGGCCTAGTATTAAGCGTTTATCTAGCAGGTGAAATTTGATTGGGTGGCAGTCATATCAATAACAGATAGTATTCGTACAATTTGAATTCTATATGACAGACTGTAGAGCTAGTCTGTAATCACAAGAAGAAGAAGACCAATGGCCAAAAGCGTGTTCCATTTTAGTCAAGACGGATCTGTAGTGTTTGCTAAAGTCATCGATCTGACAGTTCGCTCATATTAAGCTTTACTTTACTTATCTAGGTGATTAGTGATTTTATACGCCAGTGATTGTCTTCTGATCGTCTTCTCCGTCTTGTCACTTGTGCTTACCTAAGATGTATTTGTCGATATGTGCAAAGGCAATGTCTTCCCTAGTTTGGTGGTAGTGTTTAAGTAGGGCCAGCATAACTGGTTGTTATCACGTGTCCATGTTTAACTGTAACCTTTAAAGTCACACTATTAATCCTTGTCATGTCGCCACAGAACCTTTATTCCATTCTTTGTGCTCTGATCAATAATCACAAACATAAATAGCATTGTGTTTCACTTTACTACACTGTATTGCATACTGTGTAAATATTTCTCCCTATCTGTAAATTACCGTTTACAATGTGACTAGTGACAGTAATTCCTGCATTTTGTTTTGCAATATTTTTGATTTCTAGAAATAAAAATCGTTTACTTTTTGGAAATCGAGTAAATTTAACACCTGAAATTGACAGTTTTGCAACCAATACCTCAGAAATAGGCACAATGATACATTCATACCGTCTGCCAATGTTTCCGACATTATTCTCTAAATCTGAGCATACACATGATCAGCACACATCACGAATAAATAAAACTAGTGAAAATGATGATACAGATTCACAGAATTCACAGAATACACTCGCGTCAGTTGTCCACTCACCGGATAATTCAGTTAAATACAAAGATAAAAAGTTATTCAATGATAAATTTTCAATAAAAAATGTAACCTCCTCTACAACTACAATTAAAAATCAGAGTCTAGCAGATCATGAAAAGCGTCTTGATTCAAAGAAAATTCATTATGATGAAGATTTAAATACAAATGGATTAAATACTTCAAAGGACTATACACACATGAAAAAGTGGATGGAGACAAGAGGGATGGAAATGCCATCAATGAAAAATAAACAGAATAGTTGGAAATCAGATAGCAATGAAATCAGTGATCTTTCCAATCGTGCTAGACAAATTGACAGATTATTTGGAGAACTGTCACGAAAAATGGTAAGTCATAGTAATTTCCCTTTGAAAGGCTTTTAGCTTTTATAATTTTTAAACCATTCATAAAATTGTTTAAAATAAGAATACTGCTTTTTGTTTACAACATTTAAACATAGTAGTAGTACCCACGTCTCATCGGCAATTCTTATGACCATTTTGTAACCACTTTGCGATTTACTTCTCTAGTGGTGGAATCTAAGTTGGGCGATTTGTCGCATTTTGGGAGTCATCAAGAGAATGCATCTGCTTCTCAGTAAGTCGCAGTGTTTACAAAATTATGACCAAATAATTCCTCAACATACAGTTATTACATCATATAAAGAAAATTCACAACTTGAGTAACAAGGACTCAACACTGTGATCCCACAGAAAACTGAACTTGTCCTCTTGTGAACGAACTGAATCCAGTGTTGATGAGTGGTTGACCATTATGAATTATCAGTCCGGTGTTTGCGATGTCGTGACAAAACGTCTTTTCCATCAACTTTTTCCATATGATGTGGTACTCAGAACTATGGTTAATTGAAATAAGTCGAGACAAAGGTTTCGCTCACATGAATCTTTAGATGGCGACAAATATTAATGGCCCTACTGGCAATTTATTCTCTTATCATTCTCAGACCTAACGGGTTTCTGATAAAGGTTCTTACTGTCATAATAAACGGCTCTCATAGGGAATTTTCGCACTCATCTGTCTCACTTTCTGTCGGCGCAAAGAAGTAGGAATTAATTAGGAATAAAAGTGTGTCACTGTAAAATTCAAGCTTATCTTGAATTAGTATTTGTTTGCAGACTAGTTCGCATTCCACATTGGTTGATTATGTTGAACCGAAATGTTTTGTCTTTGGTCAAATGTTGGCTCCTAGGACGGAAGCGTCAACTATGTTTATGAAATAACGTGTTGTTTTGGTTGATAGTGACTAGCCGTGGAGTCTAGCATTCTCGTGACAGATAATGCTTTGAAATTTCGAAAAATAGTTGCAAGGTTCGAGTTTTATTCGGAACACTATCACTCACTGGAAGTGCAAGTTTATTCGGCTTCGGATTCCCGAATAAAACGGAATGTACATCTTGGATTCCACTTCTAGTCACCATCAACCAAAATTATCTTGAATCATGTTACACGTGCGTCGGTGGTATAGCGGTTAGCATGCTGGCCGACCATGCACATGATCCGGGGTTCGATCCCCGGCCAACGAACTCCTTTACTTAGCTAAGCCAGAAATAATTCTGGTTAAGAGGGAAGGTTGGACATGAGGCTAGCAACCTCATCCTGTAAAAATAAACACTGCTACAGAAACGTCAAGCCACTAGCTTGACGCCCTACGTTCCACTGGGAACGTGAAGGAAAAAAAATGTTACACTAAACTTCTATGTGGATTAAATACATTCGAAATGAATGTAACTACTAATGTTCTTGGTAAATTACAGTGTAAGTGGTTGTCTGTAAGGATCTAAAGTGCTTATTTACGAAAAGATGCTAATCTTCTGGAAAATATATTTGCTTTCGGTCATGATTTTTTGCTGACGTAGCTTCAGAGGGGAGTTTTAGACTCTTTGTCGACTGAAAATTTACCTTTCGGCTAAAACAAATAGTCACCACAGATATTCCATACAAACAGATCGTACTTTTACAAAATAAAGTGTAGTTTCATTCCGATTTCGGGTTTTTTTTTGGATTTTATCGCACACTGGCACCAGTTGGGGAATCAGTAAATATCAAGGAGTAGTGGACAGCTGTTTTCCCCTGATTTGAGACTCTCCAACGCTGTGTAGATACAGTCGCACTAGAGATTGAACCTAAAGTTTTTATATTACTACACAAGACTGTTGAATGCACAGCCACTGGAGGAGTTTATCAAACTCCTTACACAAAACCCAAAGTCTCCTATTCATTAGTGGCTACAGGATGAATGTCCTGAAGTTGCATTCAATGGAGTCTGTCATATTTCACGCGAAGTTGGCGCTCATTATCAGTACGGTGGAACCATTCTCTAAAGAAATGAAAGTTGGAAACCATAGGACGTTGGATTTCGACCCGTTGCCAGAGAGTTGACTAAGTGAAAACAGTATAGAGTTTATTAAGCTTTACTGAAGTTGAACGGTAAGTTATTTACGTAATACCTCATTTTTACGGCCCAGTAATTTGTGTCGTACACTTATACCACTCACCAAAATGTACCATAGGATATTAAGAATATGGATGCAAAACATCATCGTGAACGATTTTGAAGGATTTTTCGAGTGGCGCTAAACAAATCATAATACGCACCATTCAAGTATCAGTTTTCATTCAGTCTTTATTTGTTTATGTACTCTACTAACAGTTAGGCATAAGATCGTTGTATTTCACTCAGAGCTCCTTACTAATATAATCTAATTAAGATACTATCAATGATTCTTTTCCCAATAAGTACTAAAAAGCTGACCTCGCACAAAAGTCGGAATTGTCATCCTTGGTTTTTAACATAAGTAAGGCTATAATTCCTCACCACCACTAAAGTAACCTTTAATTTATAAAGTGAATCATTTAACATTTAGTAAATCGTAGAAAATATATATTCTATAGAATATATTCTATAAGGGACAAAATAAACAAATTTCTGTAAACATTAATTTTAAAAATATTCCCTGCTTCTCGTGGTTCTATCAATTTTCACTCTATTTGCTTATTCTACACTGTACTACCCCGTCTTAATTTCTTTATTTGGGCAGAATGAAGAAGCTAGATTTAAATCTTGAATTTCCGGCACTTTTATTTCCGTCCTAAGGGTAAAACTTCCATTACACCATTTCATTATCAACAGTTTTCACTGGTGTGTAGTGTATTATATAAAAGAAGATTAAAAAATAATGTTAGAAAATATGAAGCTTAATAAAAGAGAGTCTATATCTTATAAGTATCGTGAAAAAAAAACAATGAGGAAGAGCTATTAAACCCACCTAACCTGTGATGATTTGAACGCTTTTACATTTATTGCTTGTCAATCAAATGTTGAATATAAGCCTTTTTCATTATCTATGTGTATGACAGTATGCCTATGTATATGTGTGCTCATTTACAGAAATGTATTATTTGGGGTGTACTTTAAGGAAATTTAAAAATCTGAGTATTTCAGAAACTTAAAATCTCAGTATAGTGATAAGATGCTAATCGCATGAATGAGTAGCCTTAAGAATAAGTACTATCTGTAAAAATACACATCCATACTCTGCCCTTGAATAGAACTTTGGAGTATTGAGAATTCCAAAAACTAGGGTTGACAAAGCTGATCAGTCAACTCCAGCGTCATGAGGGGAGAATGTTAGTATATTTGTGGAGAATTCTTGGGGCCAAATTCATACTGAAGTTAACTCTGAAGGTGCTGTCTGGAATGACGATGAAAGTAACGCTAAATAACTATCCAGCTCAGAAAATGCAAATCGATCAAAATTTGTGATTACATTCAATATGCGTGTAAAACTTGGGCACTGTTGTAGTAAGTAATTCCATATTAGTTTGTTTATTAGATGTATCACACACTGAAACAGTACTTTTTACTGGATGACGTTTTGAACACAACTTATTATTTTTCAGAATCCTATCACTTGTAATCACACAACTTCGAAACTTGAGCTTTATAGTTTTCTTTATTCCCTCCTATTTGTCGTATGGGTAGTAGAATTTTCCAGATATATGGGACAGGTGTTGAATCATTCCTATTCCAGACAGGTATTTGCATTTGATTCGATAAACAAAGCCTTAGTCAATTATCAATCTCTCCCTCCACCCTGTGACATAAGATTTTAAAACTGTCATCCTATCCCATCCATCCTATTGTGTAGTTGTGTGTAACTGCATGTAGTGCTATAGCTGAGCTATTCTCTAGGTTTCTTATCTTATTCGGGTCAACCAATCTAGATTTCGGTAGGTTCTTATGTTCGACTAGTATGACTGCATCTGTTCTACTAGTTTGACCTCTGTATTTGACCTGACAATCATTGAAGGAGGGGTACTAGATAAACTAAATTAGTTTGTTTTAAAGGCTCCACAGGATTGATCCGTTAACTGACAAAGCTTGTTTCTAATTGAGTTTGTGGATTTGAATTTAAGCCACTTTTATTCCCGCCTTGTTAAGAATTCTGCATAAGGCTTTCGAGGTTCCTTCCCTGTATGGGATTACTACTGATGATTTAGATTCTTTGCTATTTTTGTCATGATTACATTCATTTTATTATATCGCTAAACTTTAAGGAAGTTAAACTTAACAGAAATAGGTAGTGCTGTACAAAACGTAAACCCTCACAGCAGCATAATTTTCAAACACATCTTCTTCAGAAAATTTTAGTAACTGTTAGTAAACATGAAAACCAATTCAAAGTATTTTAGGATGCTTATTTCCCGTAGTGAAGAGCCAGGTACTGCGCATTATATCGACGTATTTCACGGCTGAGTGGTTCTATTAGCTTTCTATTTGGCAAAAATCACTCGATACATTTATTCCCATTTATGAATCTGAATAAAGCAAGAACAACAGTTTCTGCACTTGATCAGCTAGAACTGAAATATAGTATATGTTTCTTTCTATAATAGGTCATTATTTCCACATGGAATGGTATTCATTCAGAGAACTGAGTTTCGTCCCAAATAGGACGAAATCAGCATCCTGGAGTTCCCTGCTAGTCACCATCCACCAATAAAATTCTAGTGTTTGAATAGTTAATTTAGTTATTACACTTTACCCTAAACCAACATATCTAAAATACAGGAATTGGTCTAAAGATAGTCTTTGGAGTTGGAAAATACAACTCATTGGCTTTAGTTCACGTCCATAAAACCTACTCATTAATCTTTTCAAAGAAAGAGTTCTGTTATAGTTGGTCAACTGGATGCATGATCGTGGTTATAATTCCACCTTTCGGTGTACTGAAGGATGAAACAATCTTTTGTCACCTGGCTTAGAGACCTTATCATAGATACATTTTGACAGTGATCTATGGATCGATTCAGTTTCATTACTAACAGTTGGGTAACTGGTATAATGCAAATAAAGAATAACATATACGTGTATATTTCGATTTCAATTTACTTTTCAGTATATTTAATCAGTTATAATCTTTTCTGCTTACTAGCCAGTTATTAAATTCACCAAGCCACACCCATTTTAATGATAAACCCATAATGAAATCTCAAATATTTATTTTATTATCTGTGAAAAATACAGTCATTTGCATTCCTAGAAACTATAAAATACCTCCTTTTTGCCTATGAGAGGTAAAACCTCGTCAGAAATCCTCTACTCACAGACAAGAAGAAAGATGCTAATATATCTGACCTCCAATAGTAGACCTCTGTAGATAATTAATTTCAAATCATTAAGAAGAACCAAAATGTAATCATAATAACAGGAGTCATAAACGAACAGTCTTCAGTAAAACAGACGTCAAGTGACTTTCAACTGAAAAACTGCAGAGAGTTAACGTTTCAGTAGTTCAGTAAAAGCCAAAGACTGGATATTTCTTCATACGCTAACTAAGGTAGTCACTTGTGTAGATAATACAACAACAAAACCTTGAATTTGTACATTAGAATATTTGAGAAACTTTTAGATTTATAATATGGCCAGGTTCTTTACAAAGATGATGTTCTCAAGTATTGATTTTTTAGGAATTTTGTTTGACTGGTTAGAGGAATTGATTATGAGCTGATTATAGTTAGAGAACCATTGGAAAACCTGGGAGTACTGAACAGTTGACCCAAAGTAGGACAGAACAGCTCTTCAGTACTTTCAGGTTTTTCAGTGGCTCTCTCACTGATGTCAGCTCATAATGAAATCCTCCAAAGACGAGATTCGTCACTTCGTTTCAATGTTACGGTTATTTTCAGTTTATATAGTATACTATATGTCGTTCGTTGAGTATTCAAAAAGTGTTTTTCTCTACTTTTTTTAATTTATCCTAGTACTGTTTGAGCGAAGAAAACAGTTTCCTTTTGGAAAATTTATTTACAGTTACAGAACATTTGAAATACTTCAAAAATATCCTACAAGGTAAGAAATTTATATTCTTATAAAATAATAATCAAAATTGGTAAATACTGTGTTAGAATTGAAATCATGTAGTAATTGATTGTAGTCGTAGTATTAGTATTTCAAGATGACCGAATTACACGAATCCAAACAAAACACAGAGAGGGCAGAATTCAGGAATTTGTATTTAGCGGAATTATTATTCAATTCATATATGAAATATATTAACAATCAACAGTAAGTATTTAAACAATACAGAGATAGAAATAGTCAATCACCACATCCGCCACACGTTGAATGTCTCCTTGCGTATTTATAATGATATTGCGGTTTACTTGCCAGTCTCTGCGATCTTCTAACTGATTCTGTGATATCATTTCCATCAGTATCATCTAGACTTATTTCTGAATTATAAAAAAAAAAAAAAAAAAAAAAAAAAAAAAAAAAAAAAAAAAAAAAAAAAAAAACTCATTTATTCTCACTTGATCCAAGTGTCTGTTATGAACTGAATTATCTTCGATGTCTAATATCTTCACCATTCGATTTCCCATTCTTTGTAGTATGATACCAATAGAAGGTCTATAATCATTCCCTCTGTAATAATGTACATCAGAAGTCGTGGACATCAGATGCTTTCTGAGAATTCGAGATTTGAATAGTTTTGCAGGACTTTCATGAGTACTTGTATGCTCCGCATTGCGATATTGAAGTAAGAAGTTATCCACACATCTCTCTAGCTCATCAAAATTTTGAGGACTCATTGATGCTATAGCACTCTTTAATGTTCGTACAAAATTTTCTGCCAACCCGTTTGACTGAGGATGACGTGGTGCTGTGTACAAATGACGACAACCTATATGTTTGAGCCAATCATTGAAGTTCTTCTCCGTAAAATGAGTACCATTGTCAGTAACTAAGACATCTGGAATTCCTTCTCGACTAAAAATCTTTCTCAACGCTCTGTGAGTGAATTTGGCATTAGGACTATCTGTAATGATGACTTCTGGCCATCTAGAATAAGAATCCACAATAACTAAAGCATAATATGAATTTAAGAATGGACCACAGTAATCTGCATGAATACGCTGCCAAACCTCACAAGATGCAGGCCACGGTGTCCACGATGACTTCCCATAGGACATTTTATGTAAACAGCTAGAACAGCTCTTTGATCTTTTGTTAATGTCAGCATCAATTTCCGGCCACCAGCATGTTAGGCGTGCTAATGATTTCATCTTATCAGCTCCTAGATGAGCAGAATGTAGATCATCCAAAATCGCAGATCTTAATGTTGGAGGAATAATAATTCTGTCATTCAGACATAGAAATCCTTCAGGATGGACTGAAATCTCATCTCTTCGCTTATAAAAGTCTGGAAATCTTCGCTTACACTGAACATTCCAACCTCTTTTTGTTGCATTTATAACGCATCCGTAATATTTCCGAGTATCATTTATAAGTCGAACTCGATCCACCGGTAACGGCTGGACTAATAAGCAATCAGTATCATTAGCAACATTTTCAAATAATGAATAACGAGATAAGAAGTCTGCATGAGGTATATCCTTTGCCGATCTATGTTCAATAGTGTAATCATATGCACTTAGTTCTAAACTCCATCTTTGAACCATAGCAGCAGATGATTTATTCAAAGATTTTTCTGGATTGTAAATGAATTTCAAAGCTTGATGATCAGTAACTATGTGAAACTTAGTACCAAAGAGATACTTGTGCAAGCGTCTTATTGCCCATACAACTGCTAGAGCTTCTTTCTGGGTTTGTGAGTACCCTTGTTCACTCTTACTTAGACGTCTTGAAATACAAATAACAGGTTGTCCATTTTGCTCAAGTACTGCAGCTATACCCATAGGAGAAGCATCTGTAGTGAGAACAGACTTATCTTTCGATGAAAAAGGTCTTAAGAAAGCTTGTTTATTAAGAAACTCCAAAGTTTTTCGCAAGATATTCTCATGTTGTTGTTCCCACTTAAACTGTTTACTGGAGACAATCTCAAAAAGTGGAGATAACCGTTGAGTGAAGTTGGGAATGAATCTGGAGTAAAACTGAAGAGTACCTATCCATGATCTCAACGATGACATATTATTAGGTGACGGTGCTTGAATTAGAGGTGCCAAACGACTAGCATCAGGTCTGAAACCTTCGGAGTCTACTGTGTATCCCAAGCATGATACAGACGACAAAGTGAAATGGCATTTAGATGGATTAACAAGAACATTATTCTCACATAAACGCCTGAACAGTTTTAAAAGACGTTCATTATGCAATTCGATATTAGGACCATGAACTATAATGTCGTCTTGGTATGACTCAACACCATCTAATCCATCTATCATCTGATTTATTACATTTTGAAATATTGCGGGTGAAACCTTTAAACCAAAAGGCAAGAACTTATACTTGAACAATCCAAATGGAGTATTAATGGTTGTTAATGCACTAGACGCCTCATCAAGAGGAATTTGCAAATAGGCATCTTTTAGATCTATTTTGGAAAAGTATCTTGAGCCATGTAGCTTGTAGAGAATGTCTTCAGTTTCTAGAGTAGTGCAACTTTGCTGTAGTAGACGACTATTGAGTGTAAGGCGGTAGTCACCACAAATTCTAGGTGTTTTTCCATCAGCCTTTAGTGGCGTAACAATAGGAGTAGCCCAATTTGAAGACTCAACTGGCATAAGTATGCCTTGCTCAACCAACTTGTCTAACTCTTTCTTAACTGCATCTCGCAATCCATATGGAATTAATCGGCGTTTCAGGAAGATAGGATCACCCTCTATTTCAAGATGGATGGGCTGAATCTTCATACCACCTACACTCTTTGAACATTGGAGAAGTAATTCTCTGAACAAAGATTCATCAAACAACTCAGTACAAAGTGAGATTTCGACATTTAACAATCTAAGGGCTTTTAATCCCAATAAAGATGGACCATATTCACTAACAAGAAAGGGAATATTTACAAAATTACCACTGTCTGATTTCAAAGAAATGTTAGTAGCACCGATAAGAGGTAATTTATGACCAGTTATGCCTGTAATTGAACTAGTAGTAGGGTCTATCTGGACATTCTTACAAATCGATTGTAAATCTTTCTTAGAAATTATAGATTCAGTACTCCCAGTATCAATTATAAAACAATGGGACTTGCCTGAACTTGTAGTGAAGGTTCTCATTAGATGAGATTGAGTATTGGGAAAAGTTGAAAGAGACATCGACTGCATTTTACCAGATAAATTGGAAGAATTATCAGGATTCTGAGTAACATAAGTATTCGAACTTCTGCAAACAGTCTTGATGTGTCCAACTTTACCACATTTGTGACACTTAGCACCCCGAAAACGGCAAGTGCTTCGTAGATGTAACTTTCCACAGGAAAAACACGGTTTAATGTTTTTGATCTCTCGCTGCATTCTATTACCTGTGGAAGACAGTTTGGATTGCTTTCCATGACCACTTGTATTTTCGACTTTAGAAAGCATAACATCAGATACTGACGTAGTGGGAGCAGAGTATTCACTTTTGACATCTTCATATGTAATACATAAATCTTTAGCAGTTTGAAAGGTACAAGAAGGAATCTGAATTAACTCTTTCTCTAACTTAGGAATATTGATTCCAGCAATTAGACGATCACGTAGTTGAGTATGCAGCTGATCTCCAAAGTTACACTTTGAAGCTTGTATTTGAAGTTGAAGAATAAAGTCTCTAATCTTCTGGTTGGGAGCACGAACCAGTTTGTTGAATTGAGCCCTCTCTCTGGTCTCAAAAGTAGTTATATGAAAGTGATGTATCAGAAGTTCACGAATCTTGACATATGACAGAGAAATGGGTTTATCTGGAAACGTCAGATTCTTCACTAGGCTATACGCATCTAGCCCAATAGCAGTGATGAAATGTGCTGGTATTTTGTCATCCCGAACATTCTCTGAAATGCACCACGCATCGAAGCATTCCAAATAATCAGCAATCTCCCGCGGAGTAGCATTTATAGGAAATTTTCCGAGGTTATTTAGTTCCATCGCGACGCCAATTTGTAGTAATTTATTGTAATCGTAGTATTAGTATTTCAAGATGACCGAATTACACGAATCCAAACAAAGCACAGAGAGGGCGGAATTCAGGAATTTGTATTTAGCGGAATTATTATGCAATTCATATAAGAAATATTAACAATCAACAGTAAGTATTTAAACAATACAGAGATAGAAATAGTCAATCACCACAAATCACTTTACCTTTCTTTATATTTCCCTGCAATTTTCCTTACTGCTAGACAAAGATTTTGACACACATCTACACATTAGCTTCACTATAGTCGCACTTGAGTGATTAAACTTTCGGCGCCAAGGAATTCGTAAATATCTTTGAACCCATGTTAAAACTGCTTTCATAATTGACACAAAATACCTAACTTGTACATAAAGGTGTTAAGAAATTCTCTTATGACACTATTTTAAAATTTTACCGTCTCTTAAACCTCATATCTTTCCTATTCCTGTTTAAATAAAGCAGTGAGCAATGGTTTGTACAGATTTCTAATCATCTGAGTACAACCTAAAGAAATTATTATATTCATTTACAGAACGCTTTTAACGTATGTACATATGCCACACGATTTCAGCTAACAGATGACTCTAAACTTGATAAAGAGTGCTCGAAAATTACACGTATAAAGCTTGTACACAGGAAGTTTATGTTTAAACACAAAAGGATATTTTTGAATATAGTGACAAAAGAGTTATTTGATAAAGCCAAGAGGTAAATAAGGTAATGAATAGCCAGCAGGTTTAATAACAGTGTGGTGAGTTTAACTCGAATCATAAAAAAAGGCAAATAAATTTACATCACAGTGAAAGGGAAAAGGTTAAATCCAAATGTTAGGTAATCAAATGAGACAAAGAGAGAGAGAGTAAAGATACCCAGTTAAGAAGCCAAAGAAAGACTGATAACCACTTCTTTCTGAACACAAATCGGGTTTCAGGCATCTGACAACACTTACTTCG